AAGTTGGCAGAGGAGCCTGGCCTAGTTGGGCCTTGGACTCAGGAAGAATACATGATGCGAAACACTCCCAGCAAAGGCATATGCACCTCAGCCTGTGGCTCTAGACTTGAGTATGTATAAAATTCATGGGGAGAACCTGTTAAAAACACAGATTCCAGGGTCCCATCCCCAGGGGTTCCACCTAAAGAGGGCAGACAGGGCCCCAGGAATCTGCCTTTAGCACATCCCTCCATGACAGTGATGCCTGGTTGTCTGTGTACCTCACTTGGAGAAACACCACAGGCTTCCCAAGTGACCAAGTCCAGCATCGGAAGCCCGTAGCGGTCAAGTGATTGTACAACCCCAAAGGGAAGGACAGGTGCAGCCGGAGGTGTGGGAGCAGGAATGTGACCTGAGCTGAAGGGTAGCCAGGTATGATCAGAGGAAGCAGTGCACAGAACCAGCCTGGGGGAGGCCTCTCTGCAGGGAAGTGTCATTCTCAGGGAGGCCACCTCTCCTGCTAAAACCCAGACCCTACTGCCTTCAGGATGGTCAGAGGGCAGGGGTTGGTAAGTGCGTATGGACTGGATCTTGCAAAGCACTCTTGGATCGGTCACCTTGCTTCCCTATGGACATGCTCACTGAGTCTCTCAGTGTGGAGTCCTCCAGACCCTGAGAAACCCGGCCATTCCCTGGGCTGGGTGGTCAGAGCAACATGGATACTTCAGCATCCGGGATTTGAAACTGGGAGACATGGGTTTATATCCAGACCTTGTCCCCAGTATGAATGTAGCTAGACATCACTCTACCTCTCAGAGACCCCATTTCCACGTTGGTGAATTGGAGGTACTAAAGCCAGCTTGACCCGCTCCATCAATGCAAAGAGGAACTGAATTGTGTTACAGGCCTGCAAATGGGAGAGAAAAACTATTCACTAGGTGCCTACATCCTGCTAGCTTGCATGGTTAAACCTAGATCCTCAAAGAGTTAAACAGAGTTATCATATAGCCCAGCAACTCCACTCCTAGGTACATATCCAAGAGAAATGAAAACATATGGACACACAAAAACGTGTACACGAATGTTCATAGCAACCTTGTTCATTACAACCCAAATGTCCATCAACTTATGAATCAATACCATGTGGTATATCCATACAGCGGAATATTGCTTGGTAATAAAGAGGCATGATGTGCTAACATTGCTACAACACAGATGAGCCTTGGAAATATGATGTTAAGTGAAAGACCAGTCACAAAAGACCACATGTTGAATGATTCCATTTATATGGAATGTCCAGATTAAACAAATCCACATAGAAAGTAGATTAGTGGTTCCTAGAGCTAAAGGGTTGGGGGAGAAATGGACAGTGATTGCTAATGGGCACAGGATTTCTTGTTGAGTGGTAAAAATGTTCTAAAACTGATTGTGGTAATGGTGGCACAACTCTGTGAATATACCAAAAGTCACTGAATTATGTACTTTTGATGACAAATGGTACGGTATGTGAATTATGTCTCAATTAAGCTGTTAAAAGACAGAGGAGGCAAAGGAGAAAGAGGGGGAGGAGAAGAAGAAAAAGACTCATCCAGGCTTTGGCGTGCCCACTGGCATAGACTCCCCAAAACATGTCAAGTTCATCACCACGAGGAAGTGAGAGAGCCCAGCGCTCAGTGTGGGCTCTGGACCAAACGGGTGAGTTGGGGTCAGGTGGGCTTCAATGTTACTCCTTACCAAGTGACTCCTGGAATTCGGGTAGCGTTTCCTGGGATACTTCCTATGTGGGGGTTCTCACTTCAGCGTGCATTACATCACCTGAAGGGCTTGTGAAGACACAGGTGGCTGAGCCCCACCAGGTGCCTGACGCAGCAGGGTGGAGCCGAGAATCTGCATTTCTAACGAGCTCCCAGGGGAAGCCAATGCTTCAGGTCCTGAAACCACATCTTGCAAACTACTGATCTAGCACTTCGTCCCTGGAGGTACTCAGGGCTTATTGACCAGACATGGCCGATAACAGCAGAACTTCATCGTGCAGATTAGGTACGTGTGTGTGTGAATGTAAATAACCTTATAAATATGTCACTGGGCAATTATCTCTAAACGTTCATTTTTAATTGGTGACTGCAGTTTTGAGGAAATAATGAAAAGAAGCACAGATCAGCAATCGGAAGACATGGGGGTCATAACCTTCCAGCTCTAGGCATTTGAGCCAAAAAAAGTCCATGCACAGTTTCCTCATCTGTGAAATACACAACCCAATTAGGCCTCATTAATAATATAGGAAAGGTTGTGAGGAAGACGATATGATGACCTAGCTGAAGATGCATGGCCAACTGGGAGTGCATTACATTCACGTCCCTAATGTCTGTTCAGAGGAACCAGTCTCTGTGAGGCCTCCAGCAACTTGCGCAAAGGCCTCAGCAGTTTCTGGGATCCCCTGAGACACTGCATGAGTTAGCATGCTTTCAGCTCTAAGTAACAGGGGTCTACACCCAAAATGGCCTGAACTACAAAGATGTTTACTTCTGCACATTACATGGAGTCTAGTGATGGGAGCACTGAGCTGTAAGATCAGAGAGGTCTGCAGAGCACGGGGATCAGGCCAGGCCTGTGAGTTGTTCGGAAATGAATGTATTATATAATAAAGATAAGTGTTTACGATGGCTTGCACTGTCTGGGAGCTCCTTAAGGCTTAAGATGACTCATAAGTCATACCCACGATGCAGGATGTAACACGTGAGCATCAGGATGATAAATTCTAAAACCTCTAGAATAGTGGTTCTCGACCCTGGCTGCACATGACAATCTGATGGGAACGGTGTAGACGGCACTCTTGTCTGGACCCTGCTCAAAAGCTCCTCCTCTGATGGATCTGGGGTGCGGCTCAGCCACTGGTATCTTTCAGAAGCTCCCAGGCCATTCTTGAGTGGCGACAGGGTTGAGAATGATGGCTCCCACGTATTATAAATGGAAGTGGTCGCCCTAAGCTTGGAGCACTCCAGCCGCCAGCTGGGGAGTTACTTAGAGATAGAAGCTATAGGAGGAGACGGAACCAAAAACAAAACTCAGACTCACATACCCATTCAGCCCAGAGCGTCTTCCCCTCCCTTTGGTAACCACGACCATCAGCCTGCCCAGCGCACACACACACACACACGCACACTCACACACTCACACACACACACACACACACACACACGTTTGCTTTCTTCCTGTGTGTGGCTTCCTCCCTCCTTCAAGGTTACCTCGACGTTTAATCCAGCCTCCATGCCATCCGGTAAATGTGCTACAGGTCGCGCAGGGGGTGGGATGTGTAGTGTGATTTTTTCCCCTGGCTCCACATTGCTTTAGGAAACTTGTTCCTAAACTTTGGTGTGAATAAGAATCACCTGGAAACCTGTTTTTTTGGTTTTTTTTAATTGTAGATACCTGGGTACCTGCTGTGAGGTTATGATGTAACAGTAAGTCTGGAGTGGAGCCCAGGAGTCAGCTGTTTAACAAGCTTCACAGGAACTTTGGAAGATAGATTATTGGTAAGCGATCCCTGATCTACAACCACAACATAAAGATACTTCCTTAACAACAACCCGATGAAAACATGGGGACAACTCTGCACGTAGGTGACGCCCAAAGGGCTCAAAAGATTTGAACAGCCAAACCACCAAAGAAGACATAGAGATGGCCAGTAAACGTGAAAAGATGCTTCACGTCAGTAGTCATTAGGGAAATGCAAATACAAGCTTCACCGAAATAACCACTAGGAAACTACAAACCTGTTAAAACGGCTAAAATGAAAAAAGAAATGGCAGCTATCGGATAGGGAGGCACAGTGGCTCAGCCGCTGTAGATTTTGGACAGCTGTTTACAACGTTAAGCATACATGTGCCTTATGATCCAGCAATCCCCCTCCCAGGTATCAGCCCAAATGAACTAAACATTTGTTCTCACAAAAACCAGGACGATAAAAGATACATAAACACTCGGGACGCAATGTACAGCGTGGTGACTCTAGTTAACGCTGCTCTGTGACATATAAGGAAGTTAAGAGAGTAAATGCTAAGAGTTCTCATCACAAGGGGAATATTTTTCTTCTTCCTCTTTTCTTTTTATTGTATCTAGATGTGAAAATAGCTGCTAGCTGAATCTGGTGTAACCATTTCACAATATCTGTAAGTCAAACCATCATGCTGTACACCTTAAACATATACAGTGAGGTATGCCAAGTGTTTAATAACACTGAAAAAATATACATGAAGTTTAAATATTTTCTTTAAATGTGTACATGGATGTTTATCCATGCCTAATCCATAATTACCCAAAACTAGGGAAAACCTACACATCTTTCAATGCCGAAAGAGAAAAAGTGGCTTCATTCAGATTAAACTCACTACATATTTGAGAGCAGAGCACAGTTTTGACAGCTGGGGAGGAAGATAGATCATGTTCAGCCACGCTGTCCATGGGCCCACAGTGCTTCCACGTGTGACTTCAGAATTCTCAGAGCAGCCTTGCAAACCCGTCCACCACACCATGCTCAGGGTTACAGGATGGGCTGAGGACTCAAAGAAACCAGGCATCCAGCCTCCCAAAATCCAAGTGGCTCTGTGCCTTCACCTTATTATCTCGGTGTTTTGAAATTACTCTCTGGACATTGGTGCGGTCCTGGAAGACTAGTTTGGAGACCAAACACAGGGGTTTGCCAGTTGTGGGGAGAGGTGGGCAGACAGAGGGGAGGTGCCGAGAGATGACGGACAAACACGCTGCTGTCCTCAGGTGAGTGTTTGTAAGGGACCTGAAGCCGTTTGCTTTTTTCTGACCTATCTGCAAAGCTGTCCTTTCTCCAGGCGGTTTCTTCCATTTGCTTGTTGCTGACATTTTCCTGGCATTCCACCTTAAAACGAGCTGGACGGACCACGGCCAGTGTGTCCACGCGGAGAAGCTGGGCCGCAGCGATGACACGCTGCAGTTGGAGGCTGCTCGCACACATCTGGAGGCCACATGTCAGCGGCCGCCGTATAAAACGGTGCGCCCAGCAGACCTAGGGCGACTCTCTCTGCCAGAAGCCCAAGCAGCATGCATCTCACTCTTCTGTGGGTGCTGCTGCCGCTGGTCAGCGTGGCTTGGGGCCAGTACGGTGGCTATGGGTACCCGTACCAGCAGTACCAGGACTACGGCGACGATGGGTGGGTGAATCTGAACCGGCAGGGCTTCAGCTTCCAGTGTCCCCATGGGCAGGTGGTGGTGGCGGTGAGAAGCATCTTCAACAAGAAGGAAGGTTCTGACAGACAGTGGAACTACGACTGCGTGCCCACGCCCCAGAGCCTGGGGGAGCCCACGGAGTGCTGGTGGGAGGAGATCAACAGGGCTGGCATGGAATGGTAAGGGGGCGCCTGGAGGCACCGGGGCTGGGATTACCCATCACATCCCTCCACCGGGGCTGCTGGACCCTCGGGGAATGGCACCCGCTGATGCCTGGGCATTACTACCGGGCACCTAACTGGTGCTCCGGATGGGGCAGGGCAGCTGCTCAGCTGACTACAGTGAGGGGACAAGAACCCAGGACCGGGAGTGTCCGAGGCAGATGGGCTCCTCTGTGCTCCTGTGTCTTCCAGGAGCAGCCCCGACGCTCAGTTTGGTCCGGGGGCTGGTGTGGGTTTGCGAGACGGTTACCAGCCCGCCAAAGGAGAAGTACAGAGAGTGAAAGTATTTAAGTACCTTTATAGCAATTGAACATTGTTGCACAGTCCAAACGACATTTTAGTTTTGCACTAATTTATTTTCACTGTTTTATAGGAGGACTGGTCCACAACAGTAAGGGTGGTCATAGACGACGGGTCTCTCATTACAGATAGTTTGAGAAATACTGACTTAGGGCCAGTAAATGGGGGAGAGGGCACAGCAAATTCTGGCCAAGTGAAATCAAATAGCTCTCTGCTGCCCCGATTAAATGTGCTCTCTCAATTGTAAATATGGAGGTCCTTCTTTCTGTCGGGATTTTAAAATGGGTTCCATTGCTGGGAAACAGTTGACTAAACGCTTTCAGGGAGAAGTTGTGTCTCTGCCACAGTCAATGCCATGGACATGGTCCCAGCCTGTGGGGTGTGACTGTCGCGGCCCCATACTTGGTCAGGAGCCCGTAGCAGGAGCTATTGACAGCTAGGCTGGTTATCACTGCCGCCTGGATGGAGGCAGGACCACTGGCGGGGAGAGCGGAGGGGCAGACCCTGCCCAGGGAGGAGGAAGCCGGCTGGCAGGCTGCTGCCCTGTGCTATCTGTAGAGAGAGACGCTCTGAGGAGTTCCAGCAGCAATATGGTGTAGTGGGTTTAAGAGCGGTCAAGCATAAAACCCTGGGGGTCACTCCACAGCAGACTGAACACTGACAGGCAATCGAGGGGAAAAGACGCTGATGGGCGGGAGAGCCAGGCAGGAGAGGGGGAGCTTCGAGTTATATGACACAAACAGCTGCCGTTTACTAGAGCGTAGACTGAGCAGGCACCACGCTGAGTGTTTCTTGTGGATTATCTCGCTTAGCGCTCAGAACAAATCAATAAGTCATTTTATAGGTAGACGAGCCGTGGTCTGGCGATCAGGGGTTTCCTCAGTTGGTACAGCCAGGATTTGGAGCCAGTGAGTCTTAACTGCAAAGCATTGGTGCTTCTCCACAGTGGGCTGCTGGAGGGCCTGCTGCCCTGCCCAGTGGGCTCTGCCAGCAGAGAAAGGGCCACAGGACTGGACTCGGGGCCACAGGCTGAGGCCAGCACCACAAGACAGGGCCAGGGCCACAGACAAGGCCATTGTCACAGGACTGGACTCAGGGCAATTCTTCACCCTGGACGGGGGGACCTGTAAGATAGGTCCCAAAGCCCCCCGCTGGAGGGATGGGAACCAGCTTGGTTACCATGACTTAGAAGGGGCTCAGCCAGCCTGGGGAAGGGGTGGGGAGAAGGCCACACAGGTGGGGGCCCCTTTACTGGGCCTTCCTCATCCACCCCCCACTGCCTCTGATGAGCAGATTTAATTACCCAAAACCCCTTCCGACAGATGGCTGACTCAGAGCCCAGCCTCGCCCGATGACTGACAGTGTCCAGCGACTCCCCAAAGCGGAACCCACTGCCTGGCATGGAGCCTGGAATGACCTAGCTACAACTGTCCGTCTCATCCTCCCATCTTGGGGGCCTTCTATGGGTGGGGCCCCTTTTTAAAGCCACAGTAAAAGAGCACTCGTCACTGGTTCCTCACTCCCAAAGGAAGAGCCCTGGGCTCTGAGTCAGCTGGATTTGGATCCTGGTTCTAGAGACAACTTGCTGTGTGACCTTGGACAGCGGTTCGCCTCCCTGGGCTCCCGGCTCACGAGGAGAACGGACGGCCAGACTGCATGGTCCCAGAAGGCTCCGCACCGCCCTGCTCTGGGCTTGGCCCTGAAAATGCTTTCTGGAGTCTGTTGTTCTTTCTGTTTATCTTTCTGTTTAGAGAAGGCAAATGGTGTTTAGTTTTAAAGTTGACAACTTGTGACTGGTTTGTCCTTAACTCCCAAGCTATTTGAAGAAAAGCAACAGAGGAAGGGAGTGAAAATAACATGATTTTTGTTTGGCCAGTGGGAGCCAAGTGAGAAGCTGACAGGCAGCTTCTCTCTTCCACCTCCTTTTTCCCACATTTCTGAGTCCACAGAGTCAAAGCATTTTCCCCTTCCTCCCTCTGTGGCCTCCTCTTCCCTGTCCATGGAGCACAGAGTACAAAACACACAGACATGAAAAGCAGCTTCTTTACAATAGGACTCAGCTGCCCCAGGACGGATACCAAGGACCCCAGAGGCATTTTTTTTTAAAGATAATTATTGCTTTGAGTTTGGACTCCAGTCTCAGTGAACAATCTGGAAGGAAAGAACTTGCTCATTGGCTGGGGAGCAATTCCATCTTCCCGTTGGCTGCAGGCTCGTAATCTGTTCTGGGGGAAGAGTTGGTGGGTTTGTGCAATTTGGCTGCCTTTTATAACTAAATCAGCCTGCAGGTTTATTTTAAGAGGCAGGCAGAGTCTCTGCCTCCTGCAAGAAAAAAATCCAAGTGCATTTCAGGGCCAAGCAGAGCGGAGAGCACGGGAGGTGGGGAGCCTTATGAGATCGTGCAGTCTGACCGTTCCTTTCCCAAGACTTGACAACAGTATGGAGGGTTTGCTAAAGACAGTTGCTAATTGGAGCACAGCCTTTAGAAGGTGTTTCATTGTGTGAGTGGCTGGCTCACCATGAAGGACTGCTAGGAGGCACGTTGCCATCTCAGGGGGGCCTCAGTCATGCCCAGGGTATCTCCTCTAACTCGGGTGGCACAGCCTGTAGGACATGTGGGTCCTGCATGGAAAAAGATGAAGCTTCAACTTTCTAGTGAGGTTAATTAAGCTCTTGTGTGGTGGGAACAGCTCTGGTCTCAGAATCAGGAAACCCTGATTCACAGCCCATTTCTTTCATCTTTTAGCTCTGTGGTTCCTCATTCTAGCAAAAAAAAAAAAAAAAAAAAGGGTGTGACACTCACTTCACAAGCTGTTAGGGGCTGCTACTGTGATGCTTACAGGAGAAAAGTGTAGGAGAATGCTGAAACAAACCTAAATCTGAAACATGCCTGACGCCTCACGAGGTCAGTGAATCTGGGATTTGATGAGGCCGGTGTGGCGCCAGCCAGCGTAACACAGATCCTGAAGCCAGAGGAACCATGTTCTGTGTCGTGGCACCTGTTTTCTACCCTGGGCTTCAAAGAATCTCAAGAAGACACTTGTAGATGGCAGCTCATATTGGACCTATTTGAATTTATGAACTCACCAAAGACAGGCCATGTGACGGAGAAGATAAGAAAGGAAAACTGTCCCACAGACAATTAGCATCAAGGCAAATTGCAAAGAACATGGTTTTCTGTCACATGACTCTGGTGCCAAGCAGCCCGTCATTTTTTTAAATGAGCTTTAAAAAATACACCAGGAAACTCCTTATTTCAAAAGCCACAGGGCTACATGCTATGTGGGAGCCTGGTGTGGGTCCCTGCTCAGGAGCGGGCCCTGGTGGACACAGGTGAGAGCCACACAAAGGCTGGAGTGGAGGGCTACACATGGCTCACCTGGTGCTCGTGGGGGCACCAGAGTCGTGACAGGTGACGTTAGGGGAAGCCAGGTAAAAGGCACACATGGCTCCTGTGTATTACCTTTACGTGTCTTCTGTAAATCTACTATTATTCCAACATCAAAGGATTATAAAAGCTATGGATGCAGGCTGGCAGAGCACATACTGGGGGTGGAAAAGGCAAACAGAGCAGAACAGAATCAGTCTCAGCACTGGGAGGGCCTCGAACACCACCTAGAGCAGCGGTTCTCAACCTGTGGGTCGCGACCCCTTTGGGGGTCAAACGACCCTTTCATAGGGGTCGCCTAAGACCATCGGAAAACAAAAAGATATTTATATGATGATTCATAACAGTAGCAAAATTACAGTTATAGAGCAGCAATGAAAATAATGTTATGGTTGGGGGTCACCACAACATGAGGAACTGTATTAAGGGGTCGCGGCATTAGGAAGGTTGAGAACCGCTGACCTAGAGCAACGTCCTTACCTCAAAGATTAGGGATGAAGGCCAAGATTAGAGGGTGAGGCAACTGAGAATCAATGAAATAGTCCTGTCACACAAAGGTGCCGCCACCCTAATCCTAATTTCTGTGGAGCTGCACAGTTTATAAATAGCCCTCATCTACACGTTTCTTTGCTCACTTGTTCACAACCAAATGCACATTATCACACACTGTGCCAGACTCCAAGGACATAAAGGTGAATGACACACAGCCTCTGCCCTTGAGTGACCTTCACAACAAGCCTGGGAGGAAGGCATTACCATCTTCCCCATTTTGTACATGAGGAACTGTGACTCAGAAGCATTAGGAGATTACCCGCTGTAGCCACTGAGCAGCAGAGGCGGTGCCCAAGCCAGACCATTGGATGCTACAGTGCCACGGGCGGACATTACATTGGCGTTATGTTTGTTCTTGGATAAGGCCGCGGTGAGTGTCAGGCTAAAGAAGATATCATATCCATGCAAGGATGACTTCTGAGGGCAAGAAGGCTGAGTGTGGGAGAGCAGGGTTATAGCAGACCCAGGATTCCTGCCAGCTGCCCACCTAACTTCCTAAGTTCTAGGACTCAGCTGTCGGGGGAGCTTTGCAAAAATGGCTCTTGACTGTGCTCAGAAGGATGGCAAAGGTCCACTCTTCCTGGTAGCTCCTGTCTGGGCACTTGTCAGACATAATCTTCCCAGTCAGTAAGAGATTTCCACAGTTAGGATATGTGCACATACGTGCGTGCAGGGACGTGCGCGTGCATGTGTATGTGTGTGCGTGCACGTTTCTCTG